GGAGGGGCGCCGGCCGACCGGCGACCGCGGCCGGTTAGGGTCCGGCCGATTGGTCTTTTTGGCCAGTGAGGCTTGGCTGGCTGCCTAACGCGGGCAACATTGGCCTGGCCGAAAAATACCGGCAGCAATCCCCGGTCGGCCGGCTCCAGTCCGGCCGTTTTGACCGGCCGGCCGCTGCATGATCGGTCTTGTTTGATGGCATTTTTTGGTCGGAATTATTTGGAGGTCTTTTCAGAATTTTTCAGAGTTCGATCCGATCAGTAAATAGGTCGAAAGGTGGGACAATTTTTTTTTAGAAAATAGAATAAAGAACAATATTGTCTTTTTGGGGCGCAATACGGAATAAAAAGAGTGCCATAGTTAGCGATTCAGATTTCCATTTCATCCCCAAATTAAGTTAATTGAGTTGTCGAACCTATAATAATATAAATTAAATTCATATGTCAACCAGACTAATGATGATCCGTCGTATTTTTATATAAAACAATTTTTTGTAGTTTTATACGTAGCAAAGATCATTCATATCTTTATTTTATTTTTTATATAGTATGAATATTTAATTAAATTATACATATTATTTAAACGAAGACATTAGAAATACGAACCTATCGATAATATAATAGAATAATAATATTGTTGCATATCTATAAGAGACCCCACCGAAACTTCTCGTTCTTTCCTTACCTTTCACTTTTCAATTTTCCTTAAAAATAATTACCCTTTTAGACGCGCTCCCTCTCTTTAATTCATATATTCAGAACCTTCTGGAATTACCATACGTTTCTGGTTTCGGTACTCCCTCTCCCTCTCTAAAATTTAGATCTCCACAGAATTTGCGTTTCTATTTTTTTTCTCCTCTCTTTAACGTTTTACAGCAATAAGGACTTGAGCATGGCTCCGCCTACGGTGGACCGGAGCGGCGGAGGCGAATCGACGGCGAACGGCGACGCGCCGCGGTCCATCCCGACGCCGTTCCTGACAAAAACTTATCAGCTCGTGGATGACCGATCCATCGATGACATCATATCATGGAATGATGACGGATCTGCTTTCATCGTCTGGAACCCGACGGAGTTCGCCCGCGATTTGCTCCCCAAATACTTCAAGCACAACAATTTCTCCAGTTTCGTTCGCCAGCTCAACACTTACGTGCGTACAATTGATTCAAAATCTTGAAATCATCTTCTTAGCTTCTGTTTGATTACGAAGGGGATTCTGATTTTCCTGTTTCAATTTTGGTAATTTCTAGGGATTTAGGAAGGTTATGCCCGATCGATGGGAGTTCTCGAATGAGTGCTTCCGGAGGGGCGAGAAGAAGCTTCTCTGCGACATTCAGCGCCGGAAAATCACCGCGCCTCCGTCCGCCACGGCGGCACCGACGACGTCTCCGCCGCCGTTGGCGGCGACTCCATTGAAGGCAGTGTCACCGTCTGATTCCGGTGAGGAGCAGGTGATCTCCTCCTCCAATTCGCCGGCGATCGGGCGGGAATTAGGCGGCGGCACGGCGGAGCTGTTGGGGGAGAACGAGAGGTTGAGGAAGGAAAACGTGCAGCTCAACAGGGAGTTGAGCCAGATGAAGAGCCTGTGCAACAGTATCTACGTTTTGATGTCGAACTACGCCGGCAGCGGTATGGGTAACGGCGGCGGCGGCGGAGGGTCAGATCCGGCGGTTCGGCCGTTAGATCTGCTGCCGATGACGAGGTTCTGCGAGGAGATGCAGACCGCGGTGGCGGAGGCGGGGGGCGACGAGGGTTGGAGATGAAGACGGAGCCGTTGGATCAAGAGATGAGCGGCGGCGGCGGTGGAGATCAAGAGTCGTCGTGGCTGATGACGAGGAGCAACTCGAGAAATCGGAGGGTGTGATAGGGGTTAAGGTTGGGGGACGGTGGGGATTGATTTGATGTAGAATTAGTGTACCAAAGCCAAAAGGGGGTACGTTGTACGTTTAGGGAGGCACGTGCCGAAAGGGACACGTGTCTGGATAACCTTTTGCTTGGAGGGACTTTATTTCAGGAAGGTTCCTTTGTCTTACCTTCCATTATACGGTCCGTAGTCTGTTTAATTATATAAATAAATGCAATTTGTTGAATCTTCATAATGTTTTAAAATTTGTGTACTTTTTACCTTTTTTATTTTTACCTAGTATTTAATCAATTCATTGGTTTTACCGATTTATAATTCTCTTTTTTGTGAAAGACATAGTATACAATTTTAAAATCGTCTTAAGTTGAATGAAAAATTAATCTTACAATTGAAATGCGGGGAATTTGAGTTTAATTAAGGGGATTTGAGTTTAATTAATTTGGATTCACAAACGTTTTGTTGGATAAATGTTTGACTAAGTCAAATGAGCCACGATTATGTAGTATCAATGTTAAAATTCTATGAGGATTCGTTAGGGACAAATTAGAAAAAAAGAACACAATTTGAGTTCGAATGAGTGCGCACAGGTTCTTAGTGAGACGCGGGCTAGACCATGTTGGGGGCGCGACGCTCTGATCAGCTCACTAGTTGGGGCTAAAGTGTTGTAGCAAATTATATTTTTAACAAGTTTGGAATAAATTTCAACTTCGAGACTATTGGAGTTCGGTGAGGAATGTCAAAATTATGCAAGTTACGGATCGCTTACAAAATAAATTTAAGTGCACTGGGACTATAGATAAGGATTGAACACTTAGGGTGTAAAATATCGCAGACTCTTAGTCGATTACAAGGCCTAAGGAGCTATACGAACAGTTCTGAGATGTGTCATCTACCTCATCTTGATGGGCGACGAGCTCGAAGATGTGATGCTCTCAAATCTCACATGAACTCACAAAGGTCGTGCAATATGTTTATCTTATGAGAAGAAAGCGTGTGAAACACATCATGGAAGGGTGTATTTATTAGTGTACTTCGATTTGCATGAATTGACTAAAAAATCGATTAGACGACTAGGCGGCGGGTGGGCGTGCTTAGGCGGGTTCGGCGGCTAGTCTTAACGAGAGAGCTTCGACACAGACTAGCCCTTTAACTCCTGATAAGACCTCTCACCTCGACCTCGTTAGAGGCCGAGGTTATCTTCATTCAAGCTCGATTATACCTGGTCACATAATTCTGCAATGATTCGCCTTCCTCTTGCCTCATCGCCATCAAAGTTAGGTAAATTTTTTTCTTGGGCTATCGCACTACCATACTAGTTTAAGAAAAAGCTCAAAAAACCATCAAAATCTCTCGCCGACACTGGGGGACTTGATGAAACCAATCCTAAGCCCTCCTCAAGGTAGCCAGAAAATCTCGACAGTTCACCGTATCAGAATAACCATGTAATACAGTCATATTTTCAAAAGACCTTAAATGCCTTGTTTGATTTGTTGACCCGTCATAGGTAAGACTAACCTTCCTGAAATTGATTAGCAGCGCAGCTTCAAGAATCTCCCGAGAAAAAGGATGTCCTCAAGCTTGACCAACAACCTTTCTGTCGACCTTCGCCTGAAAGTGACAGATATGCTCTGCCATCTTCTCGACAGTTCGGTCTGTAAAAACCCATGGCCATGTTTCTCGACTCTTAATCCTCTGTCTCCTAGTCCTACCCACTGCAGTAGTTGCTATAGTGGTCGCGTGCGATGCTTATCGAGTGAAATGCTGGGTCACTTCGACTGTAACTGCATCTGCAATCATCTTTTCAATCTCCTCCTTAGATAATGTAATAAGATGTTGCTCTCCTTGCTCGGCCTCTCTCCTAGGTGGCACCATCGAAGGGACCACTGCTCGTTATGGTTGTTCCTGTGTGACCACAGGTTGTGATTGATCTGCAACTGCAACTTCTGCTCCAACTACCACACCTACCTGAGTGCTCGAGCCTCTAGTGGCGGTTGGGATCGCAAAGGTGCACCCCGAGCCCGGAAGATTGAGCATTAGGGTACCCAGGATCTGAGAACTAGTGGAAAAATAAAGTGGAGGCCCTACTCCTCACAGACGTGTATTGACCCACACCTCGTCAAACGTGGGTTCAAAATTCTGTTAGGTCATTTGGCCCTAACCACGTGTGGTCCTTATCCTGATAATATTCCTTCTTATCCATTAGTCTGTCTTATTAGACGATCTATTTTTGCGACTGATCCAAATCACTTCGAGGTAGAATGCTGCACAAGTTGAGCTCATGTGTCGTCCTTTTGGTCAACCCGTCGACCAGTTACTCTTTCAAGTAGAGTTTCAATCAGGCATCCAAGTGCCCTAATTCGACTGTCGGTATCTCTTTGAACCTGCAACGTCCTCCTCGACCTGAAGACTATTTGTTTTGTAACCCCGTTCGACCTACCTGTGCTTCTATTCGACTAACAGGTTCGTCTGCCCAGCATCCCTTTTCTCTTACCATCAAATGACCAAGCCTTCTCTTTAAAAACCTTGCACTTGTCTTCCTCTACTTGGAACGGAAACTTGAACCTATTGTGTCCTAGAACCCTATTTGAAAATTGCCTGGTTGTTCTTCATATTACTTCCATTATAGTTCTTAGTCTTCCTAGATAACCTTATTTTTTCCCACTATTTATTCTATCAAACTGAGCACGCACTCCTATAGCCCAAGCTCAATGTCTGTTTTCGACAAAGTTATCTCTGATTTTTCTTTTTCTGAGAGCTTGAATCTGTTCAATTTATCAATGATGTCTTGCTCCATGGCTACCACGATTAGAACCAGAATCTCACTAGGAATGTAGACTCGCGGAAATCAGTAGACCCTACAAACAGAACCCGCAACTAAAAGCCCCAAAGATATTAAATTAGTGTTTTATCTTATATATGGTTATATTAAGTAATATTAAATAGTATTTTATCTTATATGGTTATATTAGCTGTAGCATAATAGATGAGAAACAAGTACCGAAAATAATAAAATGCAATACATATAAATGTGTTCTAATTCTTCAACAAGTAAAATATTATTTGTGAATAGAATATAAATAAATAAAACAATAGTAATTCAATGGGGAAAAGAATAGGTATGAATTTTCTTAGAAATATGAGTACCAATATTTAGAAACAAAAGTAGTTTAAATTACTATTTTTTGTTACTAGCATTTAAATATACGGACTCTGAAAAAAAATTGGTTCTCATAAATAATGATCATATATTATCATAATTGTTGATACCCAATTTAGCTCCGATTAATCAAATAATAAATAAAATAATGAAATACGGCCCGATAACCAAGAAGCCGAAAATATGTAATAAACGAATGTACAAGCAGGTCCACGTATCAGGAAAAATCCGCCGTCGGTAGACGCGACAATTATCAAAAAGATAGACGTCGATTGGAACTGTCAAAATTCATAAGCGGGCCCCACGAGGATTATCTCATATTAAATAATGATGTACCATTTTTTACTTATTTAGTTTCCCACTTGCAAAAGAGAGGGGGATATATATATGTACAAATGAGGAAAGAGAAGGGGTGGTTGGATGACTTCTCCTCATTTATTTTTCTCCCCCATCAACAAAGAGAGGAAGAAATCTTCTCTCTAAAAAAGAAATAAAACACCATTCTCATTGATTTTGTTCTTCATTTTTTCATACATAGATTCGACTTATATTTAACGGTTGATCGTCCGATTTTCGACATCAACAATAATATAGACCATAAACTTTAATAATGACTTCGTAATAATAAAATTCACATATGACTAAGAGTGTCATAATAAAATGAAATTCTAATTCTTCTCCTCTCAAATATTTTTACAAATGATATGTTTCTCAATATTGTCTCATTGTTGCGTTTTGTCATTGCTGAAGAATAAAAAAATGATCTTTATCTTGAATTTTCAAAGCATTATGTATAATGCAGGAACTTGGACAATAAAAGCATTAAAGAAATTATTAGGCACATAAATTTTGCAAATCCGAATGTAAAAAAAAAATTATAATAAATAATTCTCGAATCACAACAACCAAGATGATCAATAATTTTCAAATGATAAATTATATAATTGGTCTATCTTTCAAATAAACAAAATTGAAAAAAGAATGTATCGAAACATCATCGTAACATTTTTAAATAAATATATATCCTACCAGAGAGGGGAGAGGTGGACCATAAATAAAATATACAATAGGAGGAGTTGATTAATGATTGCTCGCTGCCAATAGGTCCATGGAATAACAGTAACTTGCTTTAAAGAATAGCATAAAATTGATGCAAAAATGCTTCGTAAGAGGAAACTATGTAGATGGTTAATCACATGGTCTACTCAGAAATAATTATGGAATCAATGCATTTCCAGAAAATGCATGAACATGCCATTTGTGGCAAAGCATCCTGGCTCTTAGTCCAATCCCCCTTTTGATTGGATTTAAACACGTCCCCAGGATTTTGAGGATAAGTTAGTTTTTGGTCCCTAATGTGTATTGCATTTAGAGCATCACCTGAAAAAGTCAAATTCCCATTTTGCTCAAGATATCGTTTTTAAATCGGAGGACATATTCTCAATTCCTGTCCGGCCAATCACCCATAGACAGGGTGTATATTGTTAATATGAATTATGGGTGATGGCAAACTAGCATAGAAAGTCGGCACAATCGTTCATCTCATAAGATGTTGGATATTTAGTCAAACTTCATTTGACATAAAGCGAATAAAACAATGATGAAATGATTGGCAGTTGAAGATATGTGAGTGAAGTAAATAGTAAAAATCGTTTACAAAATATGGGAGTATTGAGTCCCTATGTTTTGAGAACCGAGTAGATGTGATTGGCGAGAGAAAAGTAAATAGAATAAATGAATATGCAGTTTGATTTTCGAAAAATTTCATATCTAACCACAAATTCAGGATCGTCAAAAAAAAAATTATTCGGTATTTCGTGTTCTCTTATTACGACGTTGAAATGATTTACAGTTGAAAATATGTACGTGTGAAATAAATAGTAAAATTTTTGACGAAAACAGTGGCATTCACTTTCCTTTATTAAGGAATAGCTAAGTAGATAAACTGTTCCACGCATGTTTCATTAAGAATGTGTAAACCACAGCATTGTATTGCATGCAAATATTCTCAAGAATCTTGTCACTTATAATAAATCCAGGTCATCTTGGCCACTCTATAAAACCCCCTAGAACTCTTCAATCAATCTCACACACAAAAGTGGACAAAACATATATATCTAAGCATAGTTCACACATTCACTTCTTGATTGAAACTGTGTAAAGACTTTGTCCTGAAATTATGCCGAGGTCCTTAGATTCGCTCTCTGTAGGCAGAGTCATAGGTGAAGTTGTAGACGATTTCGTGCCTTGTGTTAGTTTGACTGTGATCTATAATGGTAACAAGCAGGTTGCTAATGGCCATGAGCTGATGCCAGCTGTCATCACGGCCAAACCATGGGTCGATATAGGCGGTGACGACATGAGGGCTGCTTATACTCTCGTAACTATCGCTTTATTCGTTTTTCTTTTTTATTTTTTTAAATCAAATAACCATCATATATCTGTTTTAAAATTCTTACTCTTGTGTTATGTTATGCATGGTTTCAAGGTGATGACTGATCCTGATTTTCCAGGCCCTAGTGATCCGTACTTGAAGGAACATCTCCACTGGTTTGTAGTATCAGCTTTAAAAAACAATGAAAACTTTAAATAATTACATCAGTAATAAAAACTACATTTTTAGGTCAAATGTTGCTTATGGGTGTGTATATAAATGTTGTCCTGTCTTTTTTCCTGTTTGCAGGATTGTTACAGACATTCCAGGTACAACTGATGCATCTTTCGGTAAGTTTTCTTGCGTATCAAGAATTATTCTCACCTAAAAAACAATTTTATATTCTCTGGCAATAAATCTGAAATTTACGGGCTATATATAAAAAGTATCACTTTNTTGGTCTCGCGTATAAAAACCCGAACTAGGGAGAGAGATTGTGAGCTATGAGGCACCAAGACCAGTCATTGGAATCCACCGTTATGTGTTTGTTCTGTTCAGACAGAGAGCAAGGCACAGCGTGTGGGCCCCAGCTTCGAGGGATTATTTCAACACGAAGAGGTTTGCAGAAGAGAACGGCTTAGGTTTGCCAGTGGCTGCAGTTTACTTCAATGCACAGAGAGAGACTGCATGCAGACGAAGATGATTATTAAACCATAATAAAGAGAAAAATGAAAAATACTGTTTGTGAAGAGTTTCTGTTCTGTGTGGTCCTAATGTTTTGGTTTATCATAAACTATTTTTAGGTTTGTGTGATGTTTCATACTGTGTGTACTAGGGATAAAATGAGTGTTGGTGCTGGTGTGTTGTAATAAATAATAATCATGATTGTTAATCACTGTTTTTATTTACTTGTTTTTTGAAGACTTGTCTTCTAATCAACAGTAATGGAAGAATAAATACAAGAATTAGTTAAAGTCCATAACTAAACATTTTTCACTTTCTGAGTTAGAGTTCTAAAAGATATGAACAAACAGTGTGCATTCATGGGAATTCATTTAGCAACAAACAAGAATACTTTTCTTTACATACTCCTCAAGATTCCTAAAACACCACATACAACAAGAACCAATACTTTGTCAACAAACCAGAAAACACATCAAACAAATCTAACAACACTCACATTTAGCATACCTAAAAATCTTAAACCAGCTTACAATTACCTAAAAAGGAAAAGNCGTCACGCGTTAATCTCGGCATTGCACTGATTCTCCCTGCTGCAGCTCCTCCTCCCCCAAAACATACCCGAACATGTTGTTGTCTTCTCCAACCTCACGCCCTCCATTTTTTCCCGCTCGTCTGTCACGGGCTGCGAATCTTGCCCAGGCCTTCCATCGAAGTTCGGGCAGGGCCCTTCTTTACTACACGTGCAGAGAGGGATTGCCACTGATGGAAATGGGCTGCAAGTGACGGGACAAAATATGTCTGACGAGACAGAATCGGTTCGTCTACCTTTCCTGGGCTCGGGCGAATCATGATGCTCCCTATGGTGGTGGTGGAGCATGCAAGGGGTGCAGAGGCCGAGGGACGATATGGGTAATTTGATCTGTTTTTCGGTGGTGGGGCCCAGCAGGCGGGAAAAGGAGAGGATGCCGTGGCGGCAGAGGGGGCAGGGGATGGTGCCGGGAGGTATAGTTGATTCGAGAGGGATGTTGCTGGTCGAACAGAGGTATAGAGCACATCGAACGCATAGTTCGTGCGCGCAACCTGAGAATATTTGTAAGGTGCATGTTTGTAAGAATTTATGAGTTTAATTTTGAGGGGTGTGTATTGAAGATCTTGAGTATTTTTGTGATGACTAGTAAAGTGCACGCGCAATGCGGTGCTGGTAAATGTTTTTGGCCGATTACATTTAGTAAAATAAATTGATTAATTTATTAAATATGAAATGTAGAACAAATGGGGTTCTAATGTTTTTTTTATTGAAAAATAACATAATGATGTGCTAATATAAAAAGAATGAAATAATATATTACGACCCCAACAAAAATATATGAAAAATGAGTACCTAATGAAAACAAAAAACAAAATAACTAAATAAGAATTTAATGTATATTATAGATGCATGAGGTTTTTTATTTATTCATGTTAAATGATTCAAGAGTGATTTTCGTTCATTTTGGTTTTCACGTTCTCATAAAATATTTTCATACCCGTTGGAGTCCAATACATCAATACTATTGCAAAATTCTTCTTAATTTATTTAGAAAAATGTCTACTTTATTCAAACACTTATAAATATTCTAGCCAAACATATAATTAATCAAGTTTCATGATTGTATGATCTTTCTAATGATATTTCTACTAACAGTTCATGCATATCTCTCTGAAAATAATCAACCGTATCATTAAAATTTATGGTATTTTTCTATTATCGTATAAACTACTACATTACTATCTCTCTATAGACAAATTGATACCTACCCCATTGAGGCATCGCTCAATAGGAGGGTGGGAACGAATTTCATCTCCAAATAAAAGTTGACTTTCCAAAATCTTAGTTACAAGTACTTCTCCAGAGGCGCTAAATTATTTTTTGAAATCATCACATATTACATGAATGTACGTACTCTACAGTAATTGCACATATGCTCGAGCACAATACACTAATGAGATTGTAAATATTCCTATCAAAAAATGATAAATTCATTTAAACATTTAAAAATGTTTTCATCAGGCTCTGAAATTCTCTTTTCAATGTTATTTATTTGGAAGATAAACGAACTACATAACATACATATTGTTTGCAAATTATTGGTCATCTAAGTTGTTGCAATAATTTTAGAGTTGTTTATCATAATATCTTTCTCATTCGCCCGATTTTGCAATATTTATGTGTCTATAACTTCTTCAATGTTTTTATTGTCAAACTTTTTGCATTTTTTAAAATTCAAGATAAATATCCTTTCTTGATTATTTAACAATGAAGAAACAAAGCAATGAAACAATATTGAGAAGCATATCATTTGTCAAAATATTCGAGAGGAAAAAAATTAGAATTCTATTATATTATGATACTCTTAGTCATCTGTGAACTTTATTATTACGAAGTCATTATTAAAATACACATTATGTATTTCAAAGTTTATAATTTATTTTTATTATTTAAAGCATAATTTTTTTCTCAATGTTTCACAAAATATTACGTTACTAAACTCATTTTCATATTCACAAAAAATATATGTTAGAATCATTAATCATTATGGTTGTTCCCTTTCAAGTATAATCGAATAGTAGTTTAATATGCAACTCATTTATTTATTTTTTTAATTCGCATAGTTAATGTCAGTAACAGTTGTACGTTTACATTTATTTTGTACTTTTTCCTTATATGAATATTTCAAATGTATGGAAGAAAAATATACCACAAGTTTATCTTATGTTATTTTACACTTAACAAAATCGATTTAACATGGATTTATAAATTATTTTATAAGATATTTTTAGGTTCATTTATTTTTAAATTTGTATACATATAATATATATTATATTATATGGATAGAAATAATTATATTATTTTTATTGTATTTACAATATATTGGTCAAATCAAAAAAGAATGATGTGTATTACTTATAAAAAGAGTAACAAATAAAAAAAATATTAAGTACTTCAAAATGGAAAAAATGTAATGGTAGAAAGTAATTATATTTTAACTAAAAAAATTAAGACTTACACTATATATATATATATATATATATATATATATTATTTTATGTGCTAAAAAGTTTTAGTTAAAATAAATTTGCATGGTATAATTTATTTTTCCAATTAATCATCTACAATTGATATAGGACATTAATTAATTTTATCACTTGTTCGACTTTTGGACTAAATGCGAGCTTTAACTTTTCCCAGCCTTACTTTTATATTACGTTTTCTCGCGTTTAGTTTTAGTAAAGTCGTAAAGTGATAATTACGTTGTGTTATATTTTGTATTATTATCAATAATTTTCATAATAATTAGTTGCACACAATATTATATAATGCAAAATTTTTTATTGATTTGGAGCGCCAACTTTTACTACAATAAAATTATGAAACTCCAACGGAAATTTCAACAAAAAATTATTACAACAGAATTTGAACGACAATTCTAACAAATATTTCAATGTTATTACTCCCGTTTGAATTTTACAATGAAAATCCTAACAAAAATATTACTTTGAAATCATGGGTAAATTCATGTTTCTGACACATGCCCCATCCCAAAACATATAAAATAAGGTATGTAACAAAAATTGTGGGAACATTTTTTATAATTTTAATCATGCCTCCTATTTAGAAAATAAAATTAAAAGAAATAAAGATACATAATGAATTAATTTACAACTCAACTTAATTATAATTTAATTTAGCTCGTAACTTTATTAAATTTATAATATAAACTCGGTGTCACAACTAAAGGAAATATGAAAAATCTCAAAATTTACAATTTTACCCTATAAAATTATTTTTCTAATATTGATGATAGCTTCTATTCTCTCTTTTGCAACACATTTTTTCTCTAACTTCAAAATATATTTTTTTATATCCTTTTTTTTAGTTAATGTATGTGGAATGCAAGTTATATATTCATAATTTATAAATTCATCGATTATATTGTCGAGTCAACTATACTACAACACAAATTTTTCGTTCATAAAAATTTTAAAAAATATATTTTCGATGATTTTCTTATGTTGAATTGAGAAAAATTATGATTTTTTTAACAATAACTGTATTCTAAGTTATTGGATTCGCCACTACAGTTAGCTTTCCAATGAAACTTCCATTGAATAAACAAGTTATTAAAATCTTGGAAAGAACAAAATGTGGAATGAACAATTGAACATGACAGATTAATATATAGCCAAAAGATTAGTAAGATTTTAACAAATATTATTACTACTTTTGCCAATAGTTTCATGCCACTGAAACATAAGGCAGCAGGAGAAATTTAGACAGGCGGCGCACCTTTGGCAGCTACAGTACATACTCTCTCCAAGCAAACGGCACAAATATCAGCATCATCAGAAGCACTAGCCGAGAACTGCAACCCACAGTCTCTGCAAAAAGTGACACGAAATTCGATGTTCAAGACATACTCAACTGATGAGAAAATAAGCAATAACTACTTAAACACATAAGTCGCATGTTATCTTACCTTGCTATATTTAGAATGCTCATAAGCGGCAATGATAAATAATTAGAAGGTGGGAATACAGGTATTGAAAGGTCCGAATTAGGTTCCAAAAGGGGCTCAAGCCAATGACGGCCCCACATTCTTGCAACATCAAGCGGAAGCCATCTGTGACCATATTCCCCACATTAGTTAAAGAAATTAATGTACATCGACCAATACATAGTCAAATGTTTAGAAAGAAAGTTACCCATTGCAGTTTAATGATAAACGACTAGCCCCTCTGGCAAGAAGGATCTGCAGAGGCATAAAAAGTTTCAATATAAATACAATGACTAAAAGTACAAAAGAAAAGAAACTAATTGATATAATTCGACAAAAAATGTTGAGAAGTTAATGAACATTGACTGATCATTTTACCTGACAGCATTTCAAATTCCCTCCACAAGCTGCATAATGCAATGGAGTGCTCCCAGCCCCTATAGTAACAGCAAGATCCCCTAAACCGATAGAAAAAAGAGATCTTTGAAGAAATATTATCCACATTTAAAAAGATAATTTTACCGATCAAATCCATTGAGGTTCCATATTGGAAGGTGACGGCTGAAACTTTTGCATGAAGGTCAAGTAGAAGTTGTACACAGTCAAAGTATCCGTTCAAAGCAGCCATGTGAAGAGCAGTAATTCCGCCATCAGCAGCCTTGTTCACGAACTTGGAGAGACCACTGAATGAATGTGTAAGACAGTGCATAATGATGAGAATATCAGTTCATGTTTCTGGTGTTACATTTTCATGAAAAAAAAAAAAAAATCATTTCCGAGCAGAAGGATTCGCTTTATGGAAGATTTACTATCATTATGAATCATAACCTCGTCATAAAGGAAGATTTATCAAATTTCTCAAAAATTAGATCAGTAGCTGCATTTTCTATTCTTCTGACAAGTTAATCTTTTCTTGAAACGACTCTTAAACACACCAAAGCTCGTCTGTAACGAGTCAGCAACCTCAAACATGATATTTATTGTCCTAAATTTAATTGGAACTCCTTC